TCTCTCTCAAAAATAAATAAACATTAAAAAATTTTTTTTCATTGTGTTTAGAGGTGCCTGGGTGGTTCAGTCTGTTGAGCCTCCGACTTTTGATTTTAGCTCACATCTTGATGCCAAGGTCATGGGGTCGACCCCCCAGTTGGGCTCCACGCTGAGGCTGGAGACTGCTTAAGATTCTGTCTGTCTCTCTCCCTCTGCTCCTCTCCCTTGTTCGCACTCTTGCTCTCTCTCTCTAATTAAAAAAAAATAAATTGTGTTTAATACTTGTAAGATAATCACTTGAAAACACTTTTGAAATAGAGCTATACTAAAACAAACACGCTCAGGGCCCTACCTTTCTATTTACCACCACATTAACTGACAAGATCTAATAACCCGGGTGATTTTATAGTGGTGTTGAGTGTCTGCCGAATTTCCAGTTGTGGCCATGAAATCTGATAGAAAAATCCCTGTGGTTTTCCATTGGGGACAAAGTCACAGGTCCTGCTGATGGCTTCATTCACAATTGAGGAAATGGTAAATATCGGTTAGAGTCAGTGGAAACAAAGTTGTTAATTTTTTTCACCACGACTTACGAATTCCATCATCAGGCTCTGAAGAGGTCTGTGGACTCCAGTCTGAAGTTCATGGAAAGTCATGGGAGGGGAATCAATGGAAGTTATACGGATGCTAAGTCCTCCCCACTTAGTGTGCCTTACTTAGCTTCAGTCTCTGGTTGGGGAGGGATTTTATTGAGCACCTACTGTGTGCCAGGTATGTCTAGGCTCTGGGAATCCACTGGGGGCGCGGGAGAAAGAAGTGATCCCTACCTTTGGAACTTCTGCAGCTGGAGATGGACAGGTCATTAAGCCCATCTTCCCGTGCCTCTTGGGTCCCCCCACACCTTCCCCACCCAAACCAGCCATCATTACCTTATGTGGTGGTGGCTGTAAATACGATGTCGGGGATGACTGAGTGATGCGTTCAAATCCCTACTCTTACACTTAGTAGCTGTGAGGTGGAGCCTAGGATGAACGCTCTGATTTGTGCCTCAGTTTCCCCCCTCCTTGTTACCTGGAGATGCTTTGGGAACTTAGTGGACAGCGTTTCTCTAAGGCAGCTGTGGAAAAAGGGGAACTTCTGAGACTTCTCCTCAGACGTGGAGAATATAGATTCTCGCTTTTACTAAATACTGAACGACTGTTCTCCAAATTAGGGCCCCTGGTTCAACTCCCACCGGAAAGGGAAAGGACTCATTTCCTCCATCACCACCGTATCTTACTTTCTCTTTCTTGATTTGTGTTGAAGGATAATTTATAGGCCCTAAAAAATGTGACTCTTACACGGACAGCTCAGAGGGCTTTTGCATGTGTCCACAATCCCAACAGCCCACACCCGGATCAAGACGTGTATGTATACGTCACTTCCAGCCCCTGGAATGCCCCGGGCGCCGCGGGCAGTGCTGCTCTGAGGTCTGTCGCCATAGTTGAGTTTGTGCTCCAACACTTCACCGAAACGGACTCTGAGTGTGGATCCTTTCGTGTCTGGTTTCTTTTGCTCAACATGGTGACTGGGATCCTCACCTATGTGGCCGCTCTCCACCTTAAAAATAAAACAGCCGGTTATTTTATCAGCAAAATGAGCTTATTCAGAAGAGCGGAGGAACTGCAATTTGGGAGGCACGAGACAGGGCAAATCGTAGCCAAGTGCAGAGAACAAAGGGGAGGACCACTGCTTTCTAGAAAAAAAGGAGGAAGCTGGGAAGAGCTGCTTGGAAGCAAAGTCCATTGCAGGAGAGGAAGAGCTCGGGAAGAGGATGGCTTCTCATTGGCTGAGTTATGGTGGCTTCTCATTGGCTGACTTGTGGTAGCTTCTCATTGGCTGAGTTACAGTGGTTTTTCATTGGCTGGGCTGTTTCTGGGCAGGAGAAAATCTTCTGCCCAAAGTTTAAGTGTGAGAGCTCCCCCTTTCTGGGGTTCCTGACTCCATTCTAAATGAGGTTTTCTCTTTCTTTTCTTTTTTTATTTAGTAAAAGAAAGTGTTTCTTGATTTATTTTTAATATTTTAGTCAATCAATTAATTTAAAGTAACCTCCACACTCCACGTGGGGCTTGAACTCACCACCCCAAGATCAAAAGTCACCTTTCTTCACTAACTGAGCCAGTCAGGTGCTCCTTTATTAATTTTCACATTGTGCATGTCAGTAACTTATCCTTGTTCTTTGCTGCATAATAATTCACTTTTTTCAAGAAAGCAATAGTTCTCCCCTTTGTTCTCTGGACTTGACTGTGATTTGCCCTGTCTTGCTCGTCCCACATTGCAATCCCTCTGCTATTCTGACTCTCTCCCAATTTACTGGTCTCTTCTCTGTTGGATGTAAACTTGGGTTGTTGCAGTTGGGGGCTATTAAGAATAATGAGAGGTCGTCTGGGTGGCTCACTTGGCTAAGCGACTGCCCCTTGATCTCAGCTCAGGTCATGATCTCACAGCTTGCAAATTCAGGCCCCAAGTCAGGCTCTGCACTGACAGCACCCAGCCTACCTGGGAATCTCTCTCTCCCTATCTGCCCCATCCCTGCTTGCACTCTGTCAAAATAAATATTAAGAAAAAAAAAATTTTTTTTTTTAAGAGTAGGCAGAGAGGGAGACACAGAATTAGAAGCAGGCTCCGTGCTGTTAGCACAGAGGTGAGCCCGTAAGATCATGACCTAAGCTGAAGTCAGACACCCAACAGACTGAGCCACCCAGGTGCCCCAATAACCATTTTTTTAAAAAGAGAATACAGCAGCCATGAACATTTGGGGGCCTTAGTGCAGACACATGGTCACACTTGGGTATAAACTAAGATACAGGAGTGCTAGAACACATGGAGATGCCCCAGATTGCTTTTTGTTTGCTTTTAGAAATGACCTTTTATGTCTATTATTTATTTTTATAGAGCACGAGCTGGGGAGGGGCAGAGACAAAGGAAGAGCAAGAACAAGAGAGAGAGAAACCCAAGCAGGCTCCACACCACCAGTGCAGAGCCCGACGTGGGGTTCCAACTCACGAACAGTGAGACCGTGACCCCAGCCAAAGTCAAAACTCAGGTGCTCAACCAATGGAGCCACCCAGGCACCCCACAAATAACTTAAAAAAATTTTTTTAAGGGCACCTGGGTGGCTTAGTCGGTTAAGTGTCCGACTTTCGCTTAGGTCATGATCTCGCGGTTTGTGGGTTCGAGCCCCGCGTCGGGCTCTGTGCTGTCAGCTCAGAGCCTGGAGCCTGTTTCAGTCTGTGACTCCCTCTCTCTCTGACCCTCCCCTGCTCATGCTGTCTCTCTCTCTCTCTCTCCTGGAAATAAAAAAAAAAAATTAAAAAAAATTTTTTTAGAGAGCATAAGCAAGTGCAAGGGGGGGTGTGTGTGGAGGAGCAGAGGGAGCGAGAGAGAGAATCTTAAGCAGACTCCATGCTCAGCAAGGAGCCCGATGCGGGTTGATCCCGTGACCTTGCATTCATGAGCCAAAATCAAAATTGGACGCTCCTCCGACTGAGCCACCCAGGCTTTAAGTAAAGTAAGTTTTAAGTTTAAGTAAGCCTTTGTCCATAGACCAGAGCCCCCAGGAGAAGGTGACGTCCTGCTGTGGCTGATGAGAAAGTATACAGGGTCATATTAATTCTCTGGTAGGGCTACAGAGGGACCCCAAATCCCCCTCCTCACGCCTGTGTCTTGGTTGGGGACAGATACTGGACTGGCCCAGCTCATCGCTGCAGCACCGATCATTTGCTTCCCTGCCTCCCAAACCTGCATCCTTACCTTCTGCTGGAGATGTGCTGACACCCTTAGGCCTAGTCTCATAAGCGGGACGTGGTGATGTGCAGTTTCTGCGGCGAAACACACCGCAGCTCTCAAGTACAGAGAAGTGCTTCTAAGCAGTAAGACAACAGGAAGGTGTCAGGCCCTGCATGGCAACCTTCCCTGTAAAGGGTCAGAGAGTGACTATTTCAGGTTTTGTGGGCCGCAGGCGGTCTCTGTTGCATATTTTTGTTTGCTTTAAAAATGGAAACTACAGGGCACCTGGGTGGCTCAGTCGGTTAAGCATCCGACTTCAGCTCAGGTCACGGTCTCACGGTTCATGGGTTCGAGCCCCTCATCGGGCTCTGTGCTGACAGCTCAGAGCCTGGAGCCTGCTTCGGATTCTGTGTCTCCTCTCTCTGCCCTTTCCCTGCTCAGGCTCTGTCTCTCAAAAATAAAATAAACATTAAAATTTTTTTTAAAAACGGAAACTACGCTGGGTTGCCTGGCTGGCTCAGTGGATGGAGCCTATGACTCTCAGGGTCATGGGTTCGAGCCCCATGTTGGGGGTAGAGCTTACTTAAGTAATTAAAGAAAAAGGTAAACTGTTCTTAGCTCACAAGCCAAGCCGACACACAAGCAAACACACGGCGCTTTTGGGGGGGAATGTGAAAATTTGCACTTTTAGTCTAAATCATTTTGTATGGTGATTTGAGTAGAGGAAATATTAAGTGTGAGAGACAGGGTTTCTGTTGTATCTAATTTTGAATGTTATTGCATGTTCTTTCTCTTATATTGCCCCCAAATGTTTAATCTTCCTTAAAAATTGAGATACAGCTGACAGAGAGCACAGTACCTGTTAGGTATATAACATACTGATTTGGTATGTGTATATATTGCAAAATGAGCACAAGAAGTTAATGTCTGCCATTACTAGTTATTTTTCTAATGAGAAGTGTTCAGATCTCCTCTTAAAAGAAACAAACAGGTTTTCGTGGCGCCTGAGTGGCTCGGTCACTTAAGTGTCCAACACCGCATGGCATTGGGGGCGGGGAGGTAAAGGACCCTCCCACCCTGCTCTTCTCCTGTCCCAGGTGGTGGGCGAGAACTGTCAGCCCCACCGCAGACCTGGCCCTGTCCTGGTCACATCCGTGCAAGCAGAGCAGGGAAACGCGCCGAGGCGGCCACAGGGACACCCCGCGTCGCTCAGCTCCGGGGAACACACACGCGCGTGCGCACACAGCCTGTACTTAGCTGCAGGTGAAATTTATTAAGGCAACAGCGAAACTCCACGCACCCACGACTGGCCAGGCCGACCCCGGCCCCCGTCTGCTCTAGAATGGGTCTCAGCCGTTCTGCCTCCACCCCAGACCCCAGAAGGGCCACTTCGCGGGCCAGAAGTCCAAGTCCGTTAGCCAAAGGCGGATATCCAGGGGCCTTGAACAGGACAGACGGGATCTAAGGAATCTACCCTTTGTTTCTAAGGAAAAAAAAAATGGGGTGGGGGGAGTTGAGGACCTTCTAGAAAAAATTTGTTTCTGGAAACCTTCCCCTAATGACTGATGGAAGTAAGGCTCAGAACGTGCGTCCTCCGAGCTCGCGGAGGGGGCTCCCCGAGGTGGTAGCGGAGATACGCTGGGAGGAAAGGAAGTAACACACGTTCCAAGCGGGGCAAAGGGGAGAGGGGTGACGGGGCGAGGGGTGCAGTGCTCGTGCTGACCCCTCAGGGAGAGACTAAGTCCCTTGAGGCCCCTTCTGGTGGTCCTATTTCTTCCCTTCCGGGGCGTTCTCCACAACTTCCGGGGCGTTCTCCACAGCTTCCGGAGCGTTCTCCACGACTTCCGGGGCGTTCCCCACGACTTCCGGAGCTTTCTCCACGACACCTGGCGCAAAGGGTCCGACCAGCCACATGATGGGCGCGTTCTGGGCCACGTACTCCACCATGTGGTCAAGGGCCTCTCGGGCCTTGGCCACCCGCTCTCGGCTCTGCGTCAGGATGGCGCCGGACAGGTCCTGGAAGGAGTGGATGCCGGAGAAGGTGGCCTGGAGGTCCTCCACCTGGTGGCGAGCCTGCTGCACTTGGTCCTTCACGTGGGTCGGCAGCCCCTGGACGCTGGACCCCAGCGAGACACAGGTGTCCCGCAGCTGGTGTGCAACGTCACGGCACATGGCGAGCGTCTGGGACTCCACCTGCTGGGAAGGGATCAGGACCGTCAGGGCCATGTGCTTCGGGATCCAAAGCCGACGGAAAGAGAGGGTTCTCCCGCCGACCTTCCGGAAAACCTTTCCCGAGGAGAGCCCGCCCAGCACGGTGGTTTGGGATGCCAACTCTTTTTGAGTTCTGAGCCATGTGACACGGACCCCAAAATGAAAAAGAGGCACAGTCACTTTGGAAAACGGTCTGGCGGATCCTGCAAATGTTAGTTTCCCAGGCTCCTGGGGTGCTCCGTTGGTTGAGCGTCAGACTTCAGCTCAGGTCGTGATCTCACGGTCAGTGAGTTCGAGCCCCGCGGCGGGCTCTGTGCTGACGGCTAAGAGCCTGGAGCTGCTTCAGATTCTGTGTCTCCCTTTCTCTGCCCCTCCCCCTTTCATGCGCACGCGCGCGCGCTCTCTCTTTCTCTCTCAAAATAAACGTTAAAAAAAAATTTTTTTTAATGTTAAGAGTTTCCACATGACCAGCGATTCATTCCATTTCTAGGTATCTACCCCAGAGAAGTGGAGACACTCCAGAAGTCCATCAACTTGTAATAACAAACACGACCCACACATGACCCACACAGGATGTCACTCCGGCTCAAGCAGGAGAGAAGCGTCGACACCCGCCGCCCTGCACCGGGGACCCTAAACACACGACCCGCAGGGAGGGAACCAGACACCAGAGGCCACGCGGGGTGTGAAACGTCCAGAACAGGCTCCTCCAGACAGGAAGGGGCTCGTGGGTGCTGGGGAGAAGGAGCGTGTGCTAGAAAGGGGAGAAGATCTCCCTCGGGGTTAGTAGGAAGGTTGTAAATGCATCCTGGTGAAGTCTGCACAGCCCTGTGAATAGGCTAAAAACCACTGGATCGCATGTGAATTGTATCTCAGTAGAACTTTAATAAATCAAGACTTTTTCAAGGTTTTTTTTTTAAGAGGAGGTCTGGAAGAACTTTCCAGGCAGGAGCTGTAAGCAGTGGAGGAGACTAAAGTGTAAACGTGTGAATCGGGACCTTAACACCCCACCCCCAGCACAGGGGGGTGAGAACAAGCTGGGAGGCAGGACTTTGCCCCCAACCTACCATCAGAGGGCTCTGGACTTGAACCTGGCAGGGAGGTGCCGACCAGAGTCAACACCCGCATCCTCTGGTTGCCGTGGTCAGCGGTGGGGGGAAGGGAGAGGGAGGCAGATGTAGGTGATTTGGGTCTGAATGCTAACTTGCATCTGCAGACACAGAGGGTGAGATCTTCATAAATACCACTCTTGTAGGGCTCGCTGTGTGCCTCACGTAGTAACTCAGTGTTCTTTATAAACATCTATAACTCACGGACCAGAAAATACACCCTTTTAAGTGTATAGTTCCGTGGTTTTCAGTACATTCACGAGGTTGTGCACCCACTGCCTCGAACTCTAGAACATTCCAACACCCACCAAAGAAATCTCCGCATGAAGGAGTCAGTCTGGACCCCCTCCCCAAGCCTCTGACAACCTCGAACTCCCTTCCTGTCTGTGCATGAGCCTGTTTTGGACGTTTCACGCACGTGGACTCATACCCCGCGTGGCCTCCTGTGTCTGGTTCCCTGAGCGTCATGTGTTCAGGGTCCGGCCTCGGGATGGGGTGAGGGCACCTCGCTCCTGCTCGCGGCCGGGGGACATTCCCGTGCACGGTGGATACGTTGTGCTGATCCATTCATCCATCAGTGGACACCTGGACTGTCTCCACGTGGCCCGAAGAACCCTGGAAAACCCTACGTCCCATTTACAGATGGGGACACTGAGGCCCAGAGAGGTTAAGCTGAGAAGCTATAGCGCTAGGCCAGCCTGAGACTGAGGGATGTTCAGGATGGGGCGTGAGAATGAGGGAAGGCGCTGGTTCAAGGAGAGCTGACATGAGCGAAGGTACAGGCAGTGCTGGTCAGAGCAGAGCAGGGAAGGCCAATGCCTGGGATGGCTGGGAGGGACGTGAGGTCGCCAGTCACCAGGGAGCCAGGCAGGGGAGTATACAGGGCTCGCTGGCGCTGGGATAGGGGAGAAGGCACACAGGCATGGCTTAGAGTCCAGCAGGTTGAGAGGCTTCACTCTCAAGTGTCCTGCGGTTCAGAAGTGACACCCACACCTAAAGGAGGAAATCAAGGCGGGCTTCCTGGAAGAGGTGCTGTTATGCCCAGAAGGCAGTTAATGGGAGAAAAGGCTGGGGAAGGCATTCTAGGCAGGTAGGCCTGTCCGACAGAAGTGTGAAGAAGGAAGTCAGGGCCCGAAGCGTCCCCCGCGCACCCCACGTTGGTACCTCTGGCTTGGCCGGGTTCTCCTCCGTGCCCTGGAGCTGCTTCTGGGTCCAGCTGAGCCACATCTGGTGCAGTTTCTCCTGACCCTCCACCAGCTTCTGATCAACTCCATGCTTGACGGTTTCCATCTGGAGCAAGAGAGCGAGGGAGGAGAGAGAGTGAGAGAGAGGCTGCCTCCAGCGCCTGAGCAAGGCCCGCGTCCCGGGAGAGGCCGGAGTCCAGAGAGAGGCCCTCGAGGTCCTCCTTTAATCCAGGATGGGATGGCCTGTGAAGGGGAGGAAAGCGGGAGGGATCCTCCCCACGCCTGTGGTCTCATCCCCGCCAGGTGCACGCACCACGTGCTGCTTGCAAAGGGAGGGAGCGCCCGCACATTCCCGGCACCTCCTCCTGTGTCGTCTGCTTCTCCCTGTAACCGGCCCGGCCTCGAGCGTGGCTTCGGCCAAAGGAACAGAAGCAGAGCCTTAAAAACTGCTTCAATGGAATATCATTCAGCCTTAAAAAGGAAGGACGTGCTGCCACCTGCCCCCACGTGGACGGGCCCGGAGGACGCTGTGCGCAGTGACGGAAGCCAGTCACAGAGGACACGTCCTGCGTGACCCCCCTCACAGCAGGTCCCTAGAGGCGTCCCGTCCACAGACACAAAGAGTAGATGGTGGGAGCCGGGGGTGGGGAGTCAGTGTTTGTTTCATGGGGAGAGTCTTGGTTTGGGGAGATGGACAGTTTTGGAGACGGATGGTGGGGGCGGCTGCAAGACAGTGTGGGTGTGTTGATGCCACTGAGCTGTGCGCTTGGAAATGGTTAAAGAAGGTGCAGTTTACCCCAATCAAAAGTTAAAGAAGAGGGAGGAGGGGTGCCCCGATGGCTCAGTGGGTTAAGTGTCCACTCTTGACTTCCGCTCAGCTCACGGCTCTGAGCTGACGGTGCAGAGCCTGCGTGGGATTCTCTCTCTGCCCCCCCCCCCCACTTGCTCTCTCTCCAAAAAAGGAAAAAAAATGAGGGAGGAGCTGGCGCTCAGTACAGGCAGCTACGCAAAGAGAAGAAAACAATAGAATTTAGCTCTGTAGAGAACAGACAGAAAAAAACCCCACGGGGGGGAGGGGCAGGACGTGACCACAAAGTCTGGGGTGGGGGCCTTTCTGGGGCGACGGAAACAAATGTTCCGCCTCTTGCTGGTGGTGGCGGTGCTGTGCTTCTGTTTGTAAGTCTCCTCAAACCGCCTAAGCCGAGCACCTGGGTCGTTGCGGGGTCCGTATGCGGTTAGACGCCGGGCGGGCGAGGACGCGGAGGGAAGACGGCCAAGGGCGCGGCCTCGGGAGGATCCTGGATCTCACCCCCCATCTCCCGCCTGCGGCCCCCAGGTCCGCAGCCCCGGGGGTCAGGGTGGGGGCAGCGCAGAGCGGGACCGGGGGATTGGGGGGCGCCGCGGGGGCCTCACCAGGCTGAGCGCCTGCGCCAGCTGCGTCAGGGCCTCCTGCGCCCGCTGCCGCGTCTGCTGCAGTTTGCCCAGCGAGTGCGCGTAGGCCCGCTGGCGCAGCCGCTCCGACAGGGAGCCCAGGCGCACGAAGTAGCTCTGCTCCTGCCGCTGCTGCTGCACCGAGGCGATGTCGAAGCCCTCCAGGGACGTGGCGAGGCGGGCTGCAGGGAGGAAGTCGGGAGAGGCACCGTGAAGCCCACTACCCAGCAGAGCGCCCGGCTCAGGCTTTTGCGAGCGGCCCTCGGGCTTGCACGTGCTGCTCACACGCTGCGGAGCCTTGGAGCGGAGTAGCTCCCCCCCGGCCTTGCTTTTCCCCATCTGCAAAACGGGTATGATGAGAAACACACTTCGCAGGATTAGGAGGCGCTGGACTTCAGGAGGCTCTGCAAACCTCGGCCCTAGGGCGCCATCCGCCCGGCCTCCCGCCTTGTACCATGTGTGAACACCACCAGGCACGTTGGTTTATGTCTATGGCTGCTTTCAAACTGTAGTGGTGGACTTTGCGGCCTCCTGGCCCCTGAGAGACTGAAATATTCACCCTCTGGTCCTTTGCAGAAAAAAGCTGGCCAAGCCTGTATGAGGACCCAGCACAGATTATACGGCCAGCCTCTCACAGGTTCAGGGCGTGGCGTGCATGCCCATTAGATCTGAACAGCTCTGCAGCAGAGGGACAAGTGAAACGGCCATACGGCAAACGCACAGGATCGGAACATGTCACACAAGCCTGAGCGTTCAAACCAGTTACCCCTGTGCCCTCCACGGGCAGGCCCTGGGCTGATGAAAACGGCCACAGGGCACTTTCTCGGGGGAAGTTTTCCAGCTAACAGAGAAAGAAGGGATCCTCAGATTGCAAAAGGATTTTGCAATCCCAATCGCCAACAGAGGTGCTACCCCACTGGGGAACCACATGATTCCCTGTGCGTGAATGTTCTGGAACAGGGGAAGCAGGGAAGGTGAGTCTGCCCCACAGGGGACACTGCGTGGGGTGTGGGCACCTGTGCCTGATGCAGTGCTTGGGGGGGGTGCCTCTGGCACTGAGTGGATGGGGTAAGGGATGCTGTTCGGCCCCCCCTACCCCCAACAGTGACCCAGACACCCCCACGGAGAACGACCTGGCCCAGAATGCGCACGGCACCTCCGCTGGGAGCCCCTGATCTGGTCTGTCTGCAGCTTTTTCCTGCAGTTGCAAATGTCTGGCTCCTTATTCACACAAACCAACCCTGGCCAAAGTCCGATGGCACGTGGTGTCTAATTGACATGCAGCCCCATGGGTCCTCCCCACAGCAGCCACCAGGGGGCGCTCCTGAGCACCCAAGTCGGTTCCTCTTCCTCTGCCCACACCCAGCCCTCCAGGGTTCCCACCTCCAAAGGGTAAAGTCCCAAGTCCCCCCCCATGTCCCCAAAGGCCCTGCAGACCTGCCCTGGCCCCTCCCCCGGCCCTCCCCTGCTCCCTCTCCCCCCTCACTGTTTCTCAAACACACACCGGGCAGGCTCTACCCCAGGACTTTGTTTTCTACACTTCTCTCTGCCCTGACAGCCACTCTGCTCCCTCCCTCCCTCCATTCACCTCCTCCGAAGGAAACATCTACCCCGTCCACCCCCACAACTTCTCCCCTTCCACCTTGATTTCCTTATACTTTATACTGTGAGCTCCAGGAAGGCGGAATTCTGTCCCCCCAGGACTTGGAAGAGTGTCACACAGCAGGGGCTCAAGGAACATCTGGGGGGGCGGCGGGGTGACGACAGAGGAGAGTGATTTTACCCATGGGTTTGAATGCCTGCCCAGCACCAGCCCGTTCCAGACAAAGCACAGCAGTGAGACCAAGTCAGAAGCTTCTGCTTCGTGGAACCGATGATGAGCACCAGGGCCAGAGCCCGGTGAGGAGGGGTGGGGGCAGGGTTCAGAACGCAGTATGGCCGAGGGAGGCTGCAATTTTAGAGGCTTCACTGGGAAGGTGGCATTTGAACACAGAGCTGCAGGTGGAAGGGAACAAGCCTTCCTGATGTCTAGGGGAAGGATGTTTCCGGTAGAGAGGATAGCTGGTGCAAAGGTCCTGGGGTGGAAGCATGCTCAAGGATCAGCAAGGAGTCAGCACGGCTGGAGTGGAATGAATGAGGGGAGCGTGGATGGGCACAAAGGAGGCTTTATGAAGAGGGCTTAGGTTTTTACCCCGAGGGAGGTGGGAGCCCCAAAAGGCTGTCAGCAGAGGTCAGAACCTGACTGGGGTGCTCTCAGGGGCCTCTGGTGGTGGCTTCAAAGAGAACAGATGTTGGGGGCCAGGGTGGAGGCTGCTGCACTGGTCCAGGGTGCAGCAGGGTTGGCACTGAGGGACAGCCTCTAGGTGGCTGCGAGGAAGGGGGAGCCCCGGGGGGGAGGGGTCCAGGCCCGAGGGCTGCACTCACCCAGCTCAGCGTCTGTCATGGGCAGGTGGTTGTCCATCCATTCCTCGGACTTGCCCAGCATCGTGTCCACCCCGCTCAGCACCATCTGGCCCACCCGGGAGCCCATGACCGACTGGACGCCGCTGGCCACCACAGACTTGGTGGCGTCCACACCAGTCTGCACGGCGCCCCGGGTCACGCCGACTGCCTCCGTCACTCGGGTGGCCACTGTGTCCTTGGCGCTGGACACCGTGTTGGACACGGCTTCTCGGGCCCCCGACACCTTGGACGAGACGAGCTCCTTGGTGTCTGCCAGCACCTACGACACAAGCCGGCGTCAGCACCTCTGTCCTCCCTCTCTTCCTGCCTGGGTCCCCCCAGCCCCACGCCCCAACCTCCAGGGGGGTCAAAGGCAGGAGTTCCAGCTCCTGGGTGAACCCCAAAACACTGACTCTGGCAGTGAAGGACCCGAGCTCTGGAGCCTGGGTTGAACCCTGGTTTGATATGTCCTAGCTGTGCGGCCTTTGGTAACTCACTCCACGTCTCTGTGCTTCCGTTTCTTCATCCACAGTGTTATGGGCCGCAGTGTGAACCCTAATCCCAACAACCTCAGAATGTGATACTTAAAGAGGTAATTAAGGGGGCGCCTGGGGGGCTCAGTCGGTTAAGCGTCCGACTTTGGCTCAGGTCATGATCTCACGGTTCGTGGGTTTGAGCCCCGTGTTGGGCTCTGTGCTAGCAGCTTGGAGCCTGGAACCTGCTTTGGATTCTGTGTCTCCCTCTCTCTCTGATCCTCCCCTGCTCATGTATCCCAGGAGGAGAAGCAGCTCCGGCACACAGTGGGCGTTCATGGATCAGTGCGTGTTAATCTCCTGGAATCTAAGTCTTTAAGCAGATCTCTATGCACATGGCTCTCTGGGAAGTTAACAACCCACCACTCCCATTCGTACTCTTTTAAGTTGGCATCCTGCCAAACAACTAGCCCTCTTCAGGTCCATGGGAATTAGTTTTTTGTTTTTGGTTTTTGGATGTCTGTCCTTGAGACAGAGGATGAGCAGGGGAGGGTCAGAGAGAGAGGGAGTCACAGAATCCGAAGCAGCTCCAGGCTCCGAGCTGTCATCACAGAGCCCGACGCGGGGCTCGAACCCACGAACCGTGAGATCATGACCTGAGCCCAAGTCCGACACTTAACTTAGTCACCCAGGTGCCCTGGAATTAGTTTCTTTTGGGTGGAGACAGGTGTCCACTGTGACGGTCACGTAGCTCATGGCAGTCCAAGTTCAAACTCCAGCTGTGATAACATCACGTCCCACAGAACCAGGGAACGATACCTCTTCCTTGGGTGTGTGTGTTAGGGGATGACCTCATAGGGCCTGGAGTCTGGACACCGCTGTGCCTCTAAGAGCTGGGAGGCGCTCTGCTGGATGACCTTGTAGAATGTCACCCTGAGCTCATCCTTTCTATAAACGGAAGGTATGTTGGCCTCCTGTGGCACCAGCAGGACGGAAGGAGAACACCAGGGCGCAGCCCTAAGGAGGTGGCTCCCCATTCTTCCGTGAACTGGGCAATTTCCACCTTCAGTGCCTCCCCCTCCTCCCCGCTAATGGCCTCTGCCCGTGACACGCGGGTTCAACTCCTCCCTATCTGCACTGGGTTCCGAGTAAAGGGGTGGGGCCTCCTCAGCCCAACCTGGCGTAGAGCAGCCTCTGGCCGCCAGGCGGCGCTCCACGGCGAGGCGGCGCACAGCTTCCAGCGGAGGCAGGTGGCCTCAGGGCAGAGCGCAGCACAAAGGCAGCGGTGGCGGGCTTGCCCCGCTGCCCCTCCGGGGACCACGTGGTCCCAAGAGAAGCCCAGGACAGGTGGGCCTGAGAGTGGCTGTCGGTCCCACACGGCAAAAGTGAAGACTAAGCAGCCACTCCGTGCCAGGCTATGTGAGGGGCACCAGACAGCAACAAGCAGTCTGTGCCCTTCCCCCGCCTGGGGAGACGGAGCAGCAGGCAAAATGCCCTTCAGACGGCGGGCAACATACAAGCTAACACAACGTGGACACACGATTCACAATCGCCAAAAGGTGGAAGCGGCCCACTGACAGATGAAAAAATAAACGTGGTGCCTCCACACGCTGGAATATCGTTCAGCCCAGGAAAGACGTCCCGCCACCTGCCACCACGTGGACGGGCGCCGGGGACACCGTGCGCAGAGCCAAAAGCCAGACACAGAAGGTCACGTCCTGCGTGACCCACTCCCAGGGGGTCCCCAGAGGAGTCCCGTCCGCAGAGACAGCGTAGATGGTGGGAGCCGGGGGCGGCGAGTCCGTGCTCCATGGGGACAGAGTCTCAGTTTGTCAGTTTGGAAAATATGGAAAGTTCTGGAGATGGATGGGGGGGGGCGCTGCATGACAGCGTGAGCGTGCTTGACGCCGCTCTGCACTTAGAAAGAGCTAAAGATGATAAATTTTATGTTGTAAAAAAAACTAACGTACACAAATATCCACATAATAGCCAAGTGGGAACAACCTAAAACTCCAGAATAGATGGAGGAATAAACACAACGTGTCTACCACGCACGTGCACGTCCACAGATGAACGTGTCCACCGCGCATGCGCACGGCCACACATGTCCGTGTCCACCGCGCACGCGCACATCCCTCAGGTGCATCCACCGCGCACGCGCACGTCCCCTAGGTGCATCCACCGCGCACGCGCACGTCCCTCGGCCACGAGCAGGCGCGAGGCGCCCCCACCCGCCGCCCCGCAGACGGACCCTGAACCCACGACGCTCAGGGAGGGAACCAGACACGGGAGGCCACGTGGGTGTGAGTCCACATGTGTGATGCGTCCAGAACAGGCAGACGGGAGGGGGCTTGTGGGAGACGGGGGCGGGGGGGTGTTCGGCAGGAAGGAGAGGAACAGCTAAGGGATGTGAGGTTTCTCTCTGGGTGACGCAAGGTTCTAAAATGGGTGGCGCTGGTTTCGCGGGGCGAACACACTAGAACCCCTGAACTCGAGGCTTTAAAGGAGCTCATTGTGCAGCGCGTGACTCAGAGCTCAGGCAGGCGGTGCTCGCGCGCCAGGACGATGCTGGCTGCTGGCCACCTGCAGCGCTTTCCAATTAAATGAGTAATTGAGTGTCCCAGTCACGTCAGCCACGTTCCAAGGGCCCGGGAGCCACACGCGGCTGGTGGTTTCCACATCGGCCGGTGTAGAGAACGAACAGGTACCTCAGACGGTTTTGGACTGAGCTGGGCTAGAGGGACCCTCTTTAAGAGGGAAGGGAAGGCCTCTGAAGAGGTGGGATTAGAACAAGACCTGAAAGGCTGGTTCATGAAGAAGGAAGCGCACATGCAAAGGTCCTGGGGTAGGGTTGCGACTGATGGGTTCACTGTCTTTGCTTCCCTGCCCCTGCTCTCCGCTGGATGAAAGTTCCACAAGGGGAAGCACTCTTTCTAGCACTGTGTCCGGTGCCCACCACGGGCACTAACGTTACCGAACACGGAGTACAGAGGCTGGTGTTACGTGGGGCGGCCTTGGCCCTTGCCCCAGGCAGAGTGAGAGGTGCGGGGGCGGGGGGAGCTTTGGATGGTGCTGGCTGCGGTTCAGAGCATTCCTCCAGGCTGCCCGGTGAGGGGAACAGACCGAAGAGGGGGTGGGGAGGAAGTGGTCACGGCATCTATACTAGCTGAGATGGGACCACAAACCGGGTGCCCCAGGGCCCCCGTGGGCGGAGGTCTGGTACCTTCTCCGTGTGCTGCTGCAGGATGGGCAGATTCTCCTCCAGCTTGTCCAGCCCCCTGTGGGCGTACTCGCTGGCTGATGTGACTGCAAGACACAGGGCGAGGCAGGAGTCCATGGTTAGGGCACAGGCTCGGCCTGGGGTGGGGGATGGGGAGGAGGCGGGGCCTGCCGGTGCTGGGCAGGGGCAGGGCTGGGCGGGGAAGACACCCCCCCCAAAACAGACAAGCGGTGTCGCTTACTCTGGGGCTCCAGCTTGGAGAGGATGGGCTGGGCCCCGCTGACGGCGGCCGCCGTGAGGGTCTTCACGCCCTTCTCAGCCGCGTCGCACACGGTCTTGACGTGGGGGTGGCTCTCCTTGGTGGAGGCGTAGACGGCTGACACCATGTCGCAGGTGGAGCTGATGAGGGGCATGCTGGCCACGCGGCCCACGACGCTGGGCTGCAGGGGCGAACAGGTCAGGGGGCTGGGCCTGGCACTCGGGTGCCCTGAAGTTCCCCGTCCCTCCCGGCCGGGAGACGGCCCAGCCCGCGCTCGCTTCGTGCCCATGTGGTTGCACAAACCAGGGCTTGGGGTTCCGCTCCGCATCTCCTTTATCTTAGCCCCTCTCCCATCCATTTGAACCTGCACTTGACACCCTGCTCTGCGCCAGGCACAGGAGGTCTGCAGCTGGGGTCGGCGGACTACAGCCGTGGGGCACCCTGCACCTGATTGTCTTTTTTTTTTTATTCTTTATTTTTGAGAGAGAGAGACAGACAGCAAGTGGGGGAGGGGCAGAGAGAGAGGGAGACACAGAATCTGAAGCAGCTCCAGGCTCCAAGCTGTCAGCATAGAGTCAGACATGGGGCTTGAACCCACAAACCAGGAGATCATGACCTGAGCCGAAGCCGGACGCTCAACCGACTGAACCACCCAGGTGCCCCCATCTTAACAGTTTCCAAGCTCACAGCTCGGTGGCGTCAAGCACACTCACACTGTCATGCAGTTGTCCCCAGCCATCCGTCCCTAGAACTTCTCCCCAGACTGAGACTCTGTCCCCATGAGGCAGGGACTCTGCCCCTGCCCCACCTGATTCCCAGCATCTACTCTCTCTGTGGACGAGACTCCTCTAGGGACCCCTGTGAGTGGGGTCATGCTGGACGTGTCCTTCTGTGACTGCCTTCTGTCACTGGCAAAGTGTCCTCCAGGTCCGTCCACGTGAGGGCACGTGCCTGTGCTTCATTTCTTTATGTGGATAATATTCCATTGCTGGCTGGTTTTGTAAATAAAGTTTTATTGACAGCCACACCCCTGTCCATTTGCATATTGACTATGGCTGCTGTCACCCTGCAAGGGCAGAAGCAAGTTGTTGGGACAGAGGCTCAGTGCCGCACCCACAACATGGGTGGAGGGTCATTCCTGTTTGGTGGGAGCTGCAAAGATCACTCTTGTGAAGACGCTGGCGGAAGACCCATGGGCACTGCGTGGACTCGTGTGCGAACGCACCTAACCGCCAGTCCCAGGACATGGGGAGCGTTGTTCCATTTTACGGCATGGTTAACTGAGGCAAGGAGGGGTTGAGGAAGTCACCCAAGGTCACAAAAGCCGTTGGAGCGGCTGCCTCAGGGTATTGTCCGGACCTAGTCACCGATCTCCGGGGCACCCCAGCTTTCAGGACCCCACCCAAGGGACAAGACACACACACCACAGGACACTCGTCCATGAAGGCTCACCGCATCGTGATGGCCAGGTGGGTGGAAACAGCCCCCGTGTCCATCATTTGGTGAGTGGATTAAAGAAAAAAAAACTATTGGGGCGCCTGGGTGGCTTAGTCGGTTGGGCGTCCGACTTTTGCTTGGGTCATGATCTCGCGGTGTGTGGGTTCGAGCCCCGCGTCGGGCTCTGTGCTGACTGCCAGCTCAGAGCCTGGAGCCTGTTTCGGTCTGTGACTCCCTCTCTCTCTGACCCTCCCCTGCTCATGCTGTCTCTCTCTCTCGCTCCTAGAAATAAATAAAAAAAAACATTTAAAAAAAATGTTTAAAGAAAAAAAAGTATGGTATAAAGTTTGTTTTTAAAAGTTCAGTCTCAGGGCACCTGGCTGGCTCCTGGGGACCATGTGACTCTCGATTTCGGGGTCGTGAATTCGAGCTCCATGTTGGGAGAAGAGTTTACTTAAAAAAAAAAAATCTGGGGCACCAGGGGGCTCAGTGGGTTGGTCGGCTGACTTCAGCTCAGGTCATGATTTCGCGGGTTTGTGGATTTTGTGGGTTCGAGCCCCGCTTCAGGCTCTGCGGGGAGCTGTGTTCTGTGTCTCCCTCTCTCCCTGCCCCTCCCCCGCTCACGCTCGGTCTCTCTCTCTCTCTCAAAACTGAATTAAGAATCGGAACTGTCCTGCGCTGTTGGTGGGGACGTAAAGTACGGCCGCTCTGGAGAACTTCGCGGAGGAGGGGGAGGGACGGCGAGAGCCCTCACAGCCCCGTCTGTGCACGCAGACAGAGGGCTGAAAACAGTCTCAAAGAGATTTGTACACCGTGCTCAGAGCGGCGTTATTCAGTGAAGGGAGGGGGGACGGGTAAACACGGAGCCGGCGACCCGCCTCATCCCGAGTCGCCTCGTCCCGACGGCGTTAGAAAGGAAGGGGGGCGCCTGAGGGGCTCAGTGGGTTAAGCGTCCGACTCTTGGTTTCGACTCAGATCAGCATCTGTGTTTTGTGAATTCGAGTCCCGTGACTCGCTCTGTATTCACGGCGTGGAGCCTGCCCCCCCCTCCGCAAAACAAAATTTTTTTTTAAACAAAGGAAATCAAAAAGACAAATCCTGTAGGATTTCACTCACGGGGTACCGACCATAAAAAGTTCTACTTTTATGAAAGTGAATTTATGTTCCCAAGTCTATGAAATGTCCAGAGTAGGTAAACTCAGATTAGTGGGTGCCAGGGGCTGGGGGGGGAGGGGGAGGCTGGGGAATCACTGCGGTTGGGGAAGGGGTTTCCATCTGGGGGACAAAGAACCTTCCGGAACTCGATGGTGGCATATGTACGTATCGAATGTACTTAATGCTGCTGCACCGCATACACTTCAAAGCGGTATTTGTGCAGTTACATGCTGTTTTACCTCAGGGTTTTTTTTTTTATTTTTAAAAAATGTTTTATTTATTTCTGAGAGAGAGAGCGAGCGCGCACGCGAGCAGGGGAGGGTCAGAGAGAGAGGGAGACAAGAATCCGAAGCAGCTCCAGGCTCTGAGCTGTCAGCACAGAGCCCGACACGGGGCTCGAACCCACGGACCGTGAGATCCTGACCTGAGCTAACACTGGACACTTAACCGACTTAAGAAAGGACTTTAAGAAAGGACTGACGCACAGACGACCCGCTACAACGTGGACATTCCCCCGGAAACGTGGTGCCCACGAAGGGGTTTCGACCGTAGGACTCCGTGCAGTCGGCGCGCCCACAACAGGCAAAGCCAGGCCGGTGGGCAGCGTCAGAGCGTGGCCCTGCTCCCCTCCCACCCCCGCATTTGGGGTCCCCGGTTCTGCCCCCACCCCTGCCCGTCAGACGCGGTTTGGGGGTCATGGGAGGGCTGTCCATCACCCGCACATCGATCTCTGTTGACCCCCTCGAGCCGCCAGCAGGTCCCGCCAGGTCCCACGGGGCCGGACCTCCCTCACCTGCGAGACCGGTTCTCCCGCAGTCACCGGGGCGTCAGCGCCTTCCGTCCCGTTGTGAGCCATTTCTCAGAAGCAGGCACTGCGGCAGACAGGCGGGTTAGTCAGGAGGAAGTCCGGGCCACGTCCGCCCTGCGACCCCCTCCCCCCATTTCTTAGGGCCCTGCGTCTCATTCACCCGTGGCACCTGAGGACCTGGGCAGGCCCGGGGGGGCCCGAGTCTGCACTTCTCACAGGCGCTCAGGTGCTGTGCAGCGGCTGTTCCCGGGGCCACACCTTCAAGGCCAACTCCAAGGCTCCGCTTTGTCAGTACTTGGGGCAGGCAGCTGCGGTGCGACACCTCGGTGGACAGCAACCTGCCAGCGGCCGCCTGCTTTCAGGAGCCACCATCTTCCCTTTGCCCCAGAAACCTTCAGGGGCTGGCCCCACGCCCGCACTGCCGTGTGGCCCAGCAGGACACTGGGAACAGCCCGGTTCCCCAGGAGCAGGGGCCTGGAGAGACCAAGGGCACAGCCTCATGTAGCTGCCGCAGAGACCTGTGCGCAGCTGACCAGCCGGAGCCCCCTGGGACAGAAGGTGTGGACGGGGCGGCGGAGACCTTTGCTGGCACGGGACCTCTGGCCACAGGAAACTGCTAGCAGTGGCCACCTTTCAGGGAAGATCCGGCGGCTGGGGCAGGCCTCTGGCTTTTGAGCCAGGTGGATAATATTACCAGTTCAAAAAAAAAAAAAAAAAGCTAAGCATTAGAAAAAGAAAAAAGGGGGCACCTGGGTGGCTCAGTGGGTTGCGCACCCGACTTCGGCTCCGGTGGCGAGTTCAGAGTTCACGAGATCTGTCAGCGCAGAGCCCGCTTCGGATCCTCTGTGCCCCCTTCTCTCTACCCCTCCCCTACTTGGACTCTCTCAAAAGTAAATAAACATAAAAAAAAAAACAACAACCCACAAACCAGATTAGCAAGACCAACCAAGTCAGGCTCAGGAGGGAAGGCAGGGCCAAGAGCGCCCCGGGGTCTAATGCGCACATCTGCAGGGTACAGTGGGAGCCACAGGTGCGCTCCGTGTCCTGGCCAGGTGAGAGGAGGTGGGGAAACCCGCATCAGACTAGGTGGCAGGAGTCCTACCTGGGCCCGTGCAATACTCGGTTGAGCAAGGAGCCTCCTCCCCTCCGGCTCTCAGCCCTCTCCCCTGCAAAACGGAGCTAAAGGTAGAACCTGCCTTGGAGGCTGGTTCCTCTGGTATTTCTGGGATGAGCCTGTGGTGAGTCCCCGACTCTGATTCTGAGCATTTCCTTCTAGAGAAAGGGGGCCCAGCCACCGGCTGCAGCACCACCCCATTCCCCAGGCAGAAGCCAGCAAACCGATGTCCTGAGGACACCAGTTCTGGAGTCCATGCTGGTTCTAATCTCCGCTTTGGAACTCACTAGTGGTGGGAGCCGGTGAAAGCAGCAGCCCCTCTCAGAGCCTTGCTTGGCCTATCTGTAAAATGGGGATAAGCATTCCCAGCTCAGAGTCCCTGGAGACTGCCAGAGTGACTGCATGTATGGCCCTTAGCTCAGTGCCTGGCACATAGTAGGTAGTCAATAAACAGAACCACCTCACACACATGTGAAACCAGTCTGGGACGAGCTTCTGCTGGTTACTAAGGTCCCCAGCTGAGAAGCGGGGTGAGAAGGCGCACTGGCCCCTGGTGATCATCACGAGTTCAGTTACTCCCCCTCCTTCCCTGGTGCCTGAGCTCACCTGGGCACCTTGGAGGCCCATTCTCCCATTCCCTTTGCCCAGCGATCCCCCCTGGGGCGGGTTTAACCAAGGGCGGCCACTGCAGAGGTCAGTGACCCCCCGGGAAATCCTTGGGGTCTGCCAGCGGCCAGGGACCGCTAAGATACAACTTCCAAAGTTCCCAGACACCGAGGTCCCAGGCCCGGCCCTTGGACTCAACCCTGACAGAGGTCCCAAGGACTCAGATAAGGGGTAAGGCTTCGCGGACGCCTAGAGCCATCCACTGGCCACACCCACCCAGTGGAGACGGGGGGGGGGGGGGGGGGGGGGGGGGGGGGGGGGGCGGGCGGGGGCAGCGTGCCAGCTCCTCAGGGTCAGCTGGGCGACCCAGAAACCAGGGTGAGGGAGGAGCTAAGCCCCCAGGAGGCAAAGCCATTTGCTAGGCAAAAAGACAGCCCCCTGGTTGGGGTGGGTGGTGGGGAGGAGGGGTAGGGGCGCCCAGAAGACCGGGGGAGGGCCGATTTCCTGTGCGGGGCAGGCTGCCGCTGCTCGCCTGCGAACTGCGTTTGCAAAGCAAACACACTTCTTTTAAATTTAGAGAGGATGTGTTTTATAATGGGGACCTACCCCCCGCCCCCCGCCTGATACTGCCACTTCTAGGGGGCTCTTTCGCGCCTTCCCCAAAAAAGTCTCAGGAACTGAGAGGGGAAAGTTTGAAAGTGATTCTCTTCCAGAATTGGATATTTTGAGTGGGGGGTGGGGCGGTGAATGAGACAAGAAAGCTCAGCCCGGGCTGGAGACCCCTCCCCAGGCCGCAGAGACCAGCCGGGTCCCCAGGAAGGTCCTCCCCGCTCCTTCCTCCCCTGGGACGCCCCGGGACTCGGCGAACCTCGCCCCCCACCCCTCTATGGGGCCCCCCCCGGCTCTCACCGCGGTCAGCGGGACGTGCAGAGCGCGACGGACAGCTCGGAAACTGTCTTGGGCCACCCCCTGGGGAGGCTTTTATACTCCAGGGAGGCGGGCGCTCGGGAGTGACGGGCCAGAGGACCAATTGTGTTGGGAGGCTGCCGCCGCCAGGCCACGCCCCCGCTTGGTCCGGGACTTTGGAGCCACAAGTGAAGCCCAGGAAGGGCCGGACTTTTGCGGGACCCGCGCGCGCGATCCGCCCTGCTTCCGGAGTCGGGCGACCCCTGCAAGGCGCCTGATCCAGCAAAGGGCGCCCCTCCCGACCTAGGGATTCTGTGAATTCGGGGCAGGGAGGTGCGATACGGCTTCTGTCCCCTTCCGCGGACCCGTCCCCCTCCGCGGACCCCTTTTCTCCAGGAGCCGTGAGAACCCAGAGATCGTTACCTGATGGCCCCTGGCGTCAGGAACCGAGCCCCAACCCTGAGCGAGAAGGCGATGGAGCCAAGCTCGACCCAGCAACATGAGCAGCCTTCACCACATAGGTGAACCTACAGAATGCCTTCTGCCGGTTCTGACCTGCATGGCACCATTTAATCCCCCCCAAACTGGTCCTGTATCATCCCCATTTTACAGATGAGAAAACTGAGGCCCAGAGACGGTCGATCAAGGGTAGCGCAGGGGAATCAATTCCCAGATCTCAGATTCCTGGATCAACTCCTCCCTAAAGCAGCAGCCACTTGGATTTTTTTGCACCCCCCCCCCAATCCTTTATGCTCTTGGTCTATAAACCAGAGTCTCAAAACTCACATGGTCCCAAGGGCCAAAGGGAGGCAAATCCCTCCGCTAAAGTGTCGGCATCATGGCAAAGAGTTGCCCTAGGGGAGACCCATCCAGAGATTGCCACATCCATGCAGATTTTAGACTCAAGAAAGTGCTCTGCCTTTTACAAAAACCGTTGGGCCAAATAAAACCCAACTGGGGTTGTGTTCACCTCAGGAACCGCGAGTTTGCTACTTCTGCTAAATTATGGGGGTGTGTCCCTCTGAAGCCTTGGGAAGAACAAGAAAGAAAATTGGTGTCCGCGACTGTGTTTTTCGACAGTGACTACACTAGCGCCATGCCGCAGAGCTTTCTGAGATGCCGGGAATTCTCTAGAATTCTGTGGCATTCAATATGGCGGCCACTAGCACCTTATGGCTTTTGCACATCAAGGAGCTGAATATTCACATTTCCGTAAGCACATGCAGCCAGTCAGATTCTCAAGGGAGTCTGAGACACCAGAAGGATGAAAGCAATCAGCCTCAACAGTTACACGTTTCACATTGGCTGCTGGCCTTTTTTCCGACCCATTCATGCTCCCACCCATTTCGCTCAGCAGTTTTCCTCGAGCTGCCAAGCTGCCGTGCTGGGTGCTGGGGACAGTGAGGAAAACAGAGCCCAGCCTTGTGGCGCTTACCACCCAGTGGCAGAGACGGACAATCAATGAGAAATGAGTGAAATACCGCATGGTGGTGTTACTGAGAAGCCAAAGGATTGGAGATGGAGAATGTGGGGTGTGGTTTTTAACAAGCTGATCAAAGGAGCCTCCCATTTGGGATCTTGACGCGGAAGTGAGGAAGAAAAGGAGAGAACCTGCTAGAGATCTGGGAAAACAGCACGTTCAAAGGCCCTGAGGCAGACTGTGCTTGGTGAGCTGGCGCTCCATCCAGGAAGTCAATGTGGGGGGAGTGGAGTGAGAAAGAGGTAGAGCTAGAGGAGAAGAGTTCTGGAACGTATAAAGCTCAGAGAGGTTAAATGAGTTGTCCGAGGTCACACAGCTTAAGAGTCAGTGGGAGAAATGTCTGGTAGCACACCTTTTGAACAAAAAGACAGTAGCCATGCTCGCCTTCTTCCCTAGCGTGGTGCTCAACCCCCACGTTCATTTCCTGCGGGTGCAATCCAGGGCGTTGGCCATTGCACATGTGCACATGTGTGTGGGGGAGGGGACTGCACTACCAGCGCTTAGCACTCCCTTTTCGGCACCACTGCCCCCTCCTCCGGGAAGTCTTCCTGCCTACCTCAGCAGTCTCCCGCAGGCAAAGGCTGTCGGACAAAACAGAGGATGTCCACCTCAATTTGAATTTCTGCTCAACCAGGAATACATTTTGGGGGTGTAAGTATGTCCCGTGCACTCTTTGGGATAGACTTAACATGCAAAAGTCATTCCTTGTTGCCTGGAAATTCCAATTGAGCTGGGCATCCTTTTTATTTTTCTGTTTTTGTTTTTGCTAACTCCGACAACTCTACCTCCAAACTCACATCCCTTTCTCTGCCCCAGCCGTGTCCTACCTCTGTCACCTCCTAGCCCGGGTGGGCTCCTTGAGGGCGACACCTGTCCAGGGTTCCCAGGGTGGGAGGTGAGAAACATACTGTTTTCTGAGAGCTATTTTATTACATCGTTCAAAGGCCCGATTTTAATTTCCCCCATTTTCTGGATGGGCACGCTGAGGGTCAAAGAGGTGATGTAATGTGCTCTGGGCCAAACAGCCAGAAATGGGCAGTCTGAATTCCTTGGAGATCACAATGTAGCCTCCTCCTCCTCCCCGCCTCTCCTTCCTCTTCTGCCTTTCCTCCTCCTCCATTCCACACTTCCGAGTGGAAGGGCTCCGAAACCTCCCCAGTTCTTTTGCACGGAGCCCGGAGGAAAGAGAGACAGACCAGCTTGTGCCACAAGGTGGCGCTGCTGGTCCCAGATTGGTTTCTGCCTGGCCCAGGTGTCCCCTCCATCTACACTCTGACCCTTCCCTCCTTCCATCCAACCGTCTATTTATCAACCATCTCCTGTTATGTGGCAGCTAGGGCAGGCCTGGCCGTGAGGACCTGACTGCATATGCAGTCATTCAGCAAACAATTATTAAGCACCTGCAGTGTACCAGGCTCAGGCTAGGCAGCCCTGGGGATTCAGCCTCCATCTCTGCCACCTTCAAGGCACTTATAACCCAGTAGGAAGGCACTTGCATGAGACTCGCAGGGCTAGTTAAGGTCTCCACAGCACTGGGGCGCTGGGGCGGCTCGGTTGGTTAAGCGTTTGGCTTTTGATTTCAGCTCAGGTCTTGATCTGAATCATGGGTTTGAGCCCCATGTCTGGCTTTGCACTGACAGTGCATATCCTATTTGGGATTCTCCTCTCTCTCTCTCTCTCTCTTTCTCTGTCTCTCTCTGTCTCTGGGAAGCCTCCAGGAGCAAGTAATGTCCACGCTGAGGCCTGAGAGAGAGGAGTCCGCGTCAGGCAGGTGAAGGCCCTCGAGAGGCATTCCAGGCAGGAGGAACAGAGAGTGTGATGGTGCAGAGTGAGAGGCTGGAGGGTAGAATGTGGTGAGGGCAGGATGTCAGGGAAGAGAGACCGAGTCGGGGCCAGGCTGATAAGAGCCCTAGGATGTTAGGGAGCCACAGAAGGTTCTGAAGCCTGGTCAGCAAGGGCCGGTGGGAGCATCGGAAAATGTCTTGGGCTGCCCCTGTGGATAAAGGAAATCAGGACGGGGAAAATGAGCTCCCCTGCTTCAGGGAAGTCTTACAGAAAAGGTGAGAACGTCAGAGAAAGGTGGGAAGGGCGCTATGGGAGCACATTCCAGGCACCGTGATGAATTAGTCACTCAGGAGGTATTTATTAAACACCTCTTGTGTGCTTTGCTGAATAGTGGTGAAACAGAAAATGGCCCTCTGGACGAGGTGTGCTCCAGGCAACGGGAATGCCTGTGTAAAGGTCCTGGGGCAGCACTGGACCTGCAGTATTGGAAGAGTGAAGACACCCGTCCAAGTGGCCGGAGCAGAGTGATGGGGGGGAGGGGACAAGGCAGGTGGGCTAGGGGAGAGCCTGGGCTTATGCCTGGGGGGAAGGGTGAGGGGAGCCCTGTGGGCTGTGAGCAGAGGAGGGGAGTACCTGACTCAGGTGGGCGCATACCTGGGGTCTTGAAAGATCAGGGAGCTTTTGGGCAACCATGGCTCCTGGGAGAGGCGGCTGGGAACCAGGGGCAGGGGTGGCTTGGAGCCCTGCTGAGGAAGGGGCTTCATCAGGTGGAGACTTTTGGCCGTTATTGTGGAAGCAGGGGACTGGGAGGAGGGAGGCCCTGTTGAGGTCTCTGGGGAGGGGGTGGAGTCTTCAAGAGGCAGAGAAAGGCAGGGGTGAGGGCAGGGCAGGCGGGAGCTGATGGCCCATGACCAGGTCCGCAAGAGGGAGGGGAGATGCCACGGTTCAGAAGGTGAGGCTGAGTCGCACTCTGGCGAGGGACCCACCACGGAGGGGGAGGCTGCCCAGCCCGTCCCCAGGACTGGGACCAGTGCGGAATGAGTTTGGGAGGCCGATTGGGGAGCTTCATTTTGCCTCTTCGAAAGCCCGTAGGTTGCAGATTTATCGAATAAAATGACGGGCTTCCCAGTTAAATGTGAATTCCAGACACACAGTGAATAATAGTTTTTAGCACAAGTATGTCCCCAGTATTGCAAGGGATAGACTTATGCTAAGAAACGTTAGCTAAGCTGCGAGTCCTGTATTTCTTTCTGGGAGTTGTGTCCCCGCTGCCGCAGGCCCGCCTCCGTCTTCCCCAGGGACGCGGCTCCCGCTGGTGGCTGGATGGTCTGACCAGCGGTGGCCCGGTGGCCGGAAGGCCCAGTTTGTCTCCTGGTGCTGGCTCACTGCGGGAAACCGGGGGGCCTTTAACATGCAGGCCCTGGCCTGTCCCCGCCCCCCGGCCTCATGGCGCCAGCTGCCCGCTGTCCCCTGCACGGAGGTGCAGGCTTGGGGGAGGGGAGTGGCTCTGAGACCCACTGGCCCCTGGGCCAGCCCCTCCCGGGCCAGTCGGGCCCCACTGGGCACCACCAGCCCCAGGCCAGGGGGCCCGGCCGCGGGAAGGGCTCCGCATGGCCTCTTTGCCCCCCCACCCCCACCCCCGCCGGCTCTGGTGGCCCGTCCAGCTCAGAGCCAGACATCTGAGGCCCCCTGGCCTTTCTGTGAAGTCCTGCAGGCAGAGCCGGCTGACTTCCTCGTCAGAATGTGCCGGAAGGACAGAGGCCTAGGGGCGGTTGACCAG